AATAACAAGTGTAATATCCACTAAAGCAAAGCTTAAGTATATAACACCAACACTCTTTTTCTTGTAGGACAAGGAATAGGTGGCAAGAACTATGAAAGGATGAGCTTTCCATACAAGAAGATTTCTGGACGTTCATGAGAAGATCTAAGGAGGATTTGGAAAGATTCACCACAAGATCTTTGAAGATTTGGAAGATTCGGCTATTTTTGGAAAGTCATGTTCTTACCCGATTATGGAAACGCAAGGTTTCATTTGAAGCTCAATTCTGAAGATCTCCAAATCACATGCACGATTTATACATCAAGGCAACTTACCTTACATGAAGGATTTCGTCCAAATCAGAAAGCAATCAATTGAGAAGGAAATTGACTCCTAAAAGGAAAGGAAGAACTTGGAGAAGACTCCACCCTAAGGAGTTGTATATATACCCTGCCTGAAAATCGAAGATAGGCTGCTGAGATAATCATCTTTCATTCAATATCCGAGCTTCAAAATTTTTAGTTTTATTTTCGCATGTTCAGTTTTTGGTGTTCTTACATCATCGAAGAACTGAACACGTTTGTTTTGTTTTCTTTGTTTTTCATTCAAACACTTTTGTGATCAGTACTTAGGGATTAAGTACAGTTGTTAGCTCAAGGGATTCGAGGGTTAGAAGTCCACGGGACGTGGCCAGAGAAGTAATTGATAGGATCGTGTGTAGTTGTGGCTAGACTAAAAGGGAGTTCGAGTCGTGTAAGTCCAAACTATACAAATGTGAACGGTTTGTCAATGAAAGAGCTCTGAGGGGAAGTGGGACGCTACCCTGAAGAGTTTTTACATCTTCAGTTTATTGCTTCTGCTATTTACGTTGTTTATCCACGTTCTTACATCGTTTTGCGCACTCGAGTTAAAAATATACGTTTCAGTTTTCAAATCATTAAGAAGAATTTAATGTTATTCTGGTCGGATTTGTAGAGTGAAGTATAAACCACTCCACCTAATATGCAAACTTGGATCCTCAAATGGTTTTTATTTATATGATGCCATTTATGCATGGAAACAAAGTTATACATAGGTCTAATATTCTTACACCATCCCTTTCTTTATTCATTCTTATATATAGACCCCGTAAGGAGGTCCATAGTTGATCTCCATATTTAGCAGCTCGTTTGTTGTCCGATTGATTAAATTCTTTACAACAACCCAAAACTGTGAACTTCAATTTTGTTTGTTTTCTAGTTTTCAGTTTCCCCAAAGATTGAAGAAATGCGCGAATGTCCATGTCTCAATCCATGCATCTCGAATCCATTGCCGCCATGAATCCAAAATGTTGTTTGATACGTAACTAGGGCCACCTCAAAACTGATCGAGATTTACTCTAATGCTAGCTGCAGCTAATGACTTTCGTTCATCAACTATTCATTTTCCAGTATTTTGCTGAAAACATATTCATGTGCCATTAATTACGTAAGATATGAGATTAAATTCCATAGGAAAGCTAGCAGAATTTGGTATCATGTATCATTTGGAACCCATTTTACCACTTCAAATGAAGAACTAGATATATATAACAGGGAATTTAAAGGAGAAAAAGAAAAAATAATAAAAACTAAAATATCTTGGCAACATCCTTGACTAAGCCTGGATTGGCTCGCGCGAAGTGGGTGAACTCCTGATATGAGACGTAACCATCACCATCCGTGTCTAACTCAGCCATCATCCGCTTGACCTCTTCATCCGTCACTGACCCTAAGGTCTTGAGGGCCTCCCCAAGCTCGCTGGATGATACCTTCCCATCACCATTCATGTCACAATGCTTGAAAATGCGCTCTCGGTCAGCCACCTCCTGTGGGTCTTCATCCATTATATTTGTGCTTTTGGTTGAATGATATTTTCTTATCGACGGGCAAGCGAACAAGCTTTAGTTGTCACGTTGTGCGTTGGTTCAAGAAAGTTGGGTGTGCATATATAATATATGGGTTATAATGATGAGGTTTTTTGTTGAGGTGTATGGCAATGCTTGGGAATAGGGGTGCTATGTGGTGGTGCTTAAGTAATGGGCCATGAGTTGTTGTAATTGAATGAGCCAAGAAAAAAATATTTTGTAAATACACATATTTTGTGACAAGCAAATACTTCATTTTTGTCTCACTAGCGTGAATATTCGTGAGATGCACGGAGTAGACAATGTTTTATTGTTTAGATATTATTAATTTTTTAAGACAATATGCAATTATATTAAACAAAATATTCAATTCAGTAATAATATGCAATTAATTTACGTAGTGTTCATAATTTTATTATTTTTTTAATTTTTTTGTAGGTTTTGACTATTTAATAAATAATTTTTTATTATTTATATGTTTATAAAATATTATAATTATATAAGATCATATGATATTTGCATACTCAAATTACTTACATGTACTTATATATTGTTTCTTAATATTTTTTTATATTTATTTATTTAATTTATTTTTCAACTTGTATAATATGATTAGAATCCAAATTGAATATTTTGATATATTATATATTCCATGAATACCATGTTCTATAATTTACAATATGATATTTGATTATTCTATTTATTTATTTCATTTATAAATAGTATATAATAAAAATAATATTTTTTAGTATAGAATATCTTTTTAATGTATATTTCTAAGGACAAATTTATAATTGTAAATTGTACCCGACCATAATATATTAACTTTATTAATATATTATTTTAATTCTCAATATTAATGTTATTATAAACGATATATTCAATTGTGATTTACCTTTTTATAGTTAAATTGACTACATTTAAAAAAAATAATAAAAATATTTTAAATTATTCATTTAGTTTAGTATATTCGAAAACAGTTAGAATTATTATATCATTATTATATAATGTATTTTCTTCTAATTGGTAAATGTAATTAGTTAAAATAATATATACAACCATATATAATAATATATTTAATAAAATCAATTTACATAATATATTAATTATGTCTGTAAATTACTATCAAATTAATTTTAACATCTTATTGAAAATATATCTAATCAATATACGGTTAAGATAATTCTATTTGAGTCGACTTATAGTTAATGGATATTAGCCATTGAGCACACTACTATTAATTAATTTTTCATGTATAGATTTGCTAATAAATAAATATTAATCAAATGCCAATGATAGACGAAAAAAATTTCCCGTCCAAAACCATATCAATTATAGCAATATGGATTGGTACATTATATATATATACATATATATGGGGTCGGGCTCTAGTGAGAATAGTGCTCAATGAAAGAAATAAGAATAAATCACAACCATTAAAAATCATGATCCAGCGGACATAAAAATAGGGTGTTACTATTTACCGCCCCCCTTGGACGATTTTGCCCTTTTCATTTGTTGTCTCCAGCAATATGTCTTGTAGCTAAGAGGTAAAAAAATCGTACGGCCGAAAAAGTAGCATGCGACCGGCGGTGTCCGGCCGACCGGTCCGGACAGATTCAAAGGCGTCCGGCCGGTTCGACCGGACACACCATGGTCGTGCGGTAAAACAGGTCGTACGAACCGGTCTATGTACTAACAGACAAGCCGTACGGCCCACTTGGTGTCCGGCCACGACGGTCGGTTGAAACCTGGTCCGGCCGGTCGGACCGGCCGGACATCATTTTTTTATTTTTATATTTTTTTTAAATGCTTTAAAATTATTAAATACATTACAGGTGTCTTTAGAAGATTTTGGAGGAGATGGTATTGATTACCATTCCGCTTTCAATACAACTACGCTGTTTATTAGTGATGAGGAGGCTATTAATGATGCAAAAAGTACGACAATTCTGAATGGTTTCTTTTTGAGTATTTCAAAACACAAAAAACCCAGAAGGCTGAAGATCTTGAAGTGCAACCGAGGCGAACGTTATAGAGGCCAAAACGTAGATATGAATAAAGTTGTTTCTAGACATTCAAAAACGAAAACGTGCCAGTGCCCTTTTGAGATACAAGTAAAGCGTGTTACCAGATCGACATACTGGATGATCCACATGAGTCAAGACGAAACGAAGGGATACCATAATCATTCATCTGTTGTGTATCCTGAGGGCCATCGACAGTCGAGCGGCATCAGCCAGTCATCAAAAAATATTATTCATGATATGACTGCTGCGCATGCGACACCAGTAAATATTTTGGCCGCCGTCCAGGAAAAAAATCCACACGACCATGCTAATCGACGACATATATATACCTATAGAGACTGGTGGCGTAAGGAAATAAGGAAAGTCTTGAGGGTAGGGACGTTCCTACCCAACTTCTACATTTGGCTAGCAGCAACAAGTATATAGTTTATACAAATGTCGATCCGAATACAAATGTGCTGACACACATATTCATGGCACATCCAAATTCAGTGAGTCTATTACGAACATAATACTGGTTTGTCGGCATAGATTCGACGTACAAAACCAACAGGTATTTTAAATTTACAGATATGTTATTAGCATTAATTTAAATTTGTATTTTGGATTAAATTTTATGTGATTATAATTTTTGTCTTTTGGTCTCATTTTCACAGGTACAAAATGCCGTTGTCGAGATTATTGGCATGACGCAGTGCAATAATAACTTTGTAATTGCGTATGTCCTCATGAAGGACGAGAAAGAGGCCAATTATGATTGAGTTCTCGAGAAGTTGAGACTTCTCATAGGCTATACTGTAAGGATTTATATTAAGTACACGATTAATTTAATTATTAATAAAAGTATTTTGTGTAATATGGTAAAAAAATTTGAGCTTTTTTTGGCGTGTCTCACTAATTTTTGCCGCTGCTCAGGTACATCCTAATGCTGTTGTCAGTGACAGAGAGTTGGGCTTAATGACTCCTATTAGGAGGCATTTTCCCCATTCTGCCCACTTACTCTGCACGTGGCACATCAACAAGGATGTGGAAAACAAAGTGTACAACCTGTTTGGGAAAAATAAAAAATTATCTGAGAGGTTCTTGCGCGATCGGTGGAAGTCGATTATGGATGCCAGTACGTCGGATGAGTACGACACTGCCATAGCTCAATTGAATGCAAAATACGGGAATGGCTCACGAGTGGTACAATATCTCAAGCAGACGTGGCTAGGACACAAGGAGAAGTTTGTAAAAACCTGGACGAACCAAGTAACACATTTTGGCAACACAACTACATGTAGGGTGGAAAGTGCCCACTCTGTGTTGAAGAAGTGGCTTCACACGTCGACCGGCGCGCTCGATACAGTGTGGCATAAGATTGATAAGGGATCGAGTCTCAATTGACTGAAATCAGGTACATTCCTCAAAAACGAAATGTGTCATTTTGTATAAGTATATTATGTTATATAAGGATAGTATATTATATTATATAAGTATATTATATTATATTATATTATATTATATTATATTATATTAGATAAGTATAATATAATATATTATATTAGTATAGTATATTATATTATATTATATAAGTATAATATAATATATTATATTAGTATAGTATATTATATAATATAATATAATATAATAGTATAGTATACTATATAAGTATATTATATTAGTATATTATATTATATTATATTATATTATATTAGTATAGTATAGTATATTATATTATATATTATAATATATTATGTTAGTATAGTATATTATATTATATTAGTATAGTATATTATATTATATAAGTATATTATATTATAATTTGTTATATATAACAAATTGTTTTGTAATGTATTAACAGGACAACACTTGAGTCTTCGAGTCTTAGGAAGAGTACGGCATATACAGGATTGCCTTTCGCGTGCTTGACATTGAGAGTCTCGCATTACTGTCTGAATTTATTGAACGATGAGCTGACAAGGATGCGAGACTTGAGCTATAAAGTTTACTTGCGATGCGGCTGTTTATTGCCTACCACACATGGAATTCCTTGTGCATGTACGCTTCGTACAACACATGATTCTAAAAGGGCGATTGGTATGGACATGATCCACGAGTTCTGGAAGACATTAGAGATGTTAGAACCAAGTAATTTGTGGTTAATGTTTATTTATAATTTTCTACTTTCTGATTCATTTTAAATTACAAATTAAAGTATATTACTTTGTTTAATTGTTTCAATTTTTAGATCGTATACTTTTAGGGACAAATCAACAGAGCCAGCATAATCAGGGTGCCTGGACAGATGTTGTGTTTGTTCGGACGCTTGCCAAAGAGGTTGAAGCGAGCGATCCTGCGACGATGAGGTACTGCAATAACCTCATTTACGGTAAGCTTTAACCGAACCAACAAGCATATGCAGAACCGGAGGTTAAAGAAAATACGCGAGGTCGTCCCAAAAAAAATATTCTACGAAGCGTGAAGCATCGCGATGGGAGTATAGGGATAATTCGCAAGGTCGTACAAGCAATTCTTCGCGTGGACGCACTTCTTCGCGTGGTCGCACTTCTTCGCGTGGACGCACTTCATCGCGTGGACCGACAACCAGCCAATCTTCTCAACCGTCACAAGAGGCACACCAAGGTAACATTTATTTTTTATACAGCTGAACGTTAATTGAAATGTTAATTTACAAAATTATATTTTTGTTGTGACGTGAAATTATTATGATGTTCCAGCTGGTACCGAGACAGATATATTTAGTTTTAAGTACCGCAACAGTGTTCACTGGCATATGTTGGACTACGTAGTGAGATACTTGAATGTGAAAGCAGATGGGAACTGCGGATGGCGGGTCATCGCGAGTTACATTTACGGGGACCAGGAGATGTGGCATCTCGTACGAGAGAACGTTGCCAATGAGATTTACAGCCACCGTGCCTTGTACGAGTATATCTATTACAGAGA